ACTCACGGCACCTTTGGGGAATACGGCAAGGTTGAGGAGCTCTCTGCTACTCACAGCATCATCATCAATTGCGTAGCATCCTTCAACGTGCCAGTGACAGAAGCCATCCTGAGAGGGATCCGAGCGACTAGATTTTCCGAGAAAACCCATCTTGCTCCATCTCAGCGGCACAGGAAACTTCGTTGATCATAGCAAGCTCAGCATTTACGTACCGCAAGAACACCCTTTCAACGACGGCAATACGGACCAGACTTTCAAGATTGGTACACTCTACCCACCCAATAGTGACTCAGACGGGCTGATCCTCGCAGCCGCTGCGAAAGGCGAAATAGACGCATTCTTCGTCTGCCCTCGTGTACTCATGTCACAAGCGCTAAGCATGTTGGCTTGACCGTCGGTGCAGCGTCAGCAACGGCCTGGGCAGTATGGGCGCTCTGGAATATCAGGAACTCGGCTTCTCGCCCTATGTTGGTCGCGGTACTCCCATCATCCGCTTGGTGCATGTCGATGATGTTAGTCGTTCAGAATGTGCTAGATACTTGGGATACTGACAAGCCTGAAGATGTGTACAGTCGCTATTAAATCGCAATGAATGAAGTGCCCGAGGCGAGATCGGAATTGCTGTTTCGGATGGGGAAGATCGTTTCGCCTACTCCTAAGCAGGTAACATATGAGGAGGCTGGAAAGGTAGCCGGGAGTTAGGGTAAAGGGCTGCGGTAGAGGTTTGCGTAGAAACACGGCGGCAATACCATGGTCCAAGCTGTCAATGCCGAATTCCTGGGGTCGAAAGCTTGAGCACCGGGCTTTCTTGCAACATTGACCCGTACGTTGCGAAAATATCTTTTTTCGGGTGGTAATTGATCATACTTTCCTTCGGTTTACTATGTTGGCCTGAGTATGTGTAAGCAACTGGTTTGATAGTCGTATCTGTTCTTCTCGCACTCGTCTACCCCTATTTTGCGCGTTTTTGCTGCGTTAGGGCCTGCTATGCGTTTTCGACCTTGCTTCAGTACTCGCCGACTTTGCCGTGCAGTATGATCACGCCCTTCCCGATCTTGATGAGATGACCGCGACTGCAGAGTAGGTCGGACAAATCCGAGACCTTCTCCTTTTGCATCCCGTTACACTTTCTGGAGTCTCTGGATTTTCTGCCTTTGACTTCTATATTACTTCGAGTTGGAATATATGTAAGGTCTGTGGCTGACTGCTGCCGCACTTATGCAAGTCGCGCATACCTAGCATTGCAGATCCTTCAGAACCTTCACTACCGACTGCACAATGTCGTCATGCCGGTCAGCGACATTCGCAGTTAGCTCGCCAATCTTCATTTCTACTGCTCAAGGTAAATGCTTGGTGGGTGGCACAATACTATGAGCCCCATCGTTTACCCCATTGTTAACCCTCTTTGTCTCATGTTACGCATCCCTATTTTTTTTAAACGCAGTTCACTAGGCAGCGATCTACATTGCGCCTAGGGAGCCTAGCAAAAGGTTTTCAGCTTCCTGATTCGTCTTCAAAGTTAAAAAATCCCCAAAAATGGACGAAGAGGTCGATGTCCTCATCTGCGGCGGCGGTCCTGTCGGTCTCTTAATCGCCTACTGCCTTGCTCGCTATGGTGGCGTATCCACATACGTTGTGGAACAACATGAACGTACCAAACAGACAACCTATGGCCGCGCGGCCATGATAGCACCACGTACGCTAGAGATGCTTGATCAGCTGGATCTGGCGGATGCTCTAGGGCAGGTGGGATTCGTAGTGCGGGGACAGGTATCTTACAAAGATGGAGAGCGGGTTGAGAGTCTTACTGCGGCGTCTTCGAACATCAGCGATACCTTTTTCGATTACCTGCTTCTTTGTCGCCAACGGTTTACTGAAGACGTGATTCGTGATGGGTATAGCAGATACAATAAGAGGGGTGTTCATCACGGAGCTAAATTAGCTGACTTTGCAGTTGGGCACAAAGATGAAGAATATGCAGTCCGGTCGGTTGTGGAGACTAAAGATAAGGGTACAATCTCAATACGAAGCAAGTATTTAATTGGCGCCGACGGTGGACGCTCAAGAGTACGAGAGCTCGCCGGCATCCAATTTGAAGGTGAGAGAAGCAATCGCCACTGGATCCGTATCGATGGCATTGTCGAGACAAACATGCCTGAGGCCCGGAGAGGTATATGTGGGATCGAATCCCGAAGTCATGGATCCATTCTCTGGGCTTGTCTTGATCATGGAGTAACACGCGTGGGTTTTGCCCTACCAGAAAAGCTTTGGGAAGAAATTGGTGCAGAAATATCCCGGGAAGATGTGATTCGAGAAGCTCAGAAAGCGTTGCAGCCTTTCACGCTCGATTTCAAGACCGTGGACTGGTGGACTGTGTATTCCGTTGGCCAACGCCTGGCAGCCGAGTATAGAAAGAATGAGCGAGTTTTCCTTGCCGGAGATGCTGCGCACACGCACTCATCCGGTGCAGCGCAGGGTATGAATACTGGTTTGCACGATGCTGTCAACCTTGCTTGGAAGCTAGCTGGCCGTATCAACGGCTGGCTTTCAGAGGAGGCTCTTGATACCTACGCAGCTGAACGCAGGCCTATCGCAGAGCTGATCATTGAGCAAGACAAGATTATATCAGTACTAACAGGAGGAGATATTCCAGAACTGTTCAAAGGCGCTCCTGACATGGGCGCTCATAAGCTCCTTACGGAAATATACAAGAAGAACGCCTCCTTGAACACTGGACTTGGCATCACATACGCTCCAGACGACCTCACCATCGTCGCCCCAACTACAACAGTATCTCGGAAGGTCCAACCCGGAGAGCGCACTCCTGATGTACTTGTCCAACGACCAGGACTCCGCGTTTCTCTGCGTCTTCATTCAGTTACAAAGAACTGTGGCAAGTTCATCATCATGCTTTTCTGTGGGGACCCAAGCCACACCCAAGCCTCATGGAAGACCTTCCGAGAGTACCTAGACGATTCAACAAGCTTCTTACGCTACCCGGTGGGTATCTTCCAAGGCGTTACCATTATTGCTGGCAGTAATGAAGCTGGCTCACCAGACGAGCGCCTGGGTACTCCATGCTTTGGGAACGCGTTCTATGACGTCGATGGTCTCGCGCATGAAAGATATGGCATCCCAATATCCAAGGGCGCAGTGGTTGTAGCAAGGCCTGATGGAACGATCGGGACTGTCTGTGCTTTTGGCGATGGGGCAAGTCTGTCGAGATACTTTGAAAGGTTCGTGGCTGTTGAGAAGAGAGTTGGTCTCCACAGTCAGCAAAAGAGCGACTGTGAGCCAAAATCTAAAACGGGCGAAATAGATCTGGAAAGAGAGGAGGGGTCTCAAAAGGACAAGAGAGTGGTCTATGAGACGGCATGAAATTTTCCTTTACAATATCATACAACGTTGGTCCTCTTCGCGGTCGTGTGATCGAATTGCCCGGAGAAGGGCTGGATCGAGTCATTGGACGCTGAAAAGAGTATTCCGGGGATGAGGGACCATGGAAGAGCTAGTAAAGATGTCAAAAGTATGTTCAAATCTGAATATACTATTTTCCCAGTGTACTGAGCTCGTTTTCATCTCGTTTTGTCTTGTGATACTGTGAAAATACCTTTTTTCGTGGGATTGATGAGTGCTGTTTCTGGCTACATGTACTGCGGCCTAATCTTATCCAGGATATCCTGTGACGCTCGATACTGTTGGAATATATGAAGAATTGATTGATTAGTAGCTATGAGGGTGCTGAGAGAAGGCTACTTATACCCCTATTTGCCACCTGATTGCTACCATAAAGGGTAGCTACAACACAGGTCCTGCAGCAAATCTCAACAGATACAGTCCCAATGTCTTTCTCACTGTTCTTTGAACTTTGAAGGCCAACTGCGGAGAACTTCAACTGAAAATAGTGTCGATTGTAGGTCTGCCACAGTCGTTATGTCGAATCATAAAGTATCAATGAATTGCGAGCATTCAAGAAGACGTAACTAATTATCGAAAGGGAGGCTCTGTGTTGAGCACGTGCCCTAAAAATGCACCAACATACATATGACGCGCTGACTTGCGACATGCGAACCCATTCCAGAGGTTTCGCTTGCGCGACAACGGCAATCAAGACGCGGTCAAGCGCACAACAGTGCACTATGAGGCTTGAAGAGCCTTTAACACCCTTTGCGTCACTCTTCGTTTCGAGTGCTTTCACCTGCGCTTTAAGGTCGAGATCATAAGTCATGGTCAATCCTCTCCTCATCCTCCCGTTACTAAACGCATCAACCTTGACGAACAACATCGACGGATGCTACGAACAAAAGCCTCCCGGACAAACTCAGCTCGTGTCCACTACATTCACCGTCTGCTCTCAAGCAATCAACCGCATCACTGCCGGTCGTACTCTCGACACGCCTCTTGCTTTTGGTCGCACGGTCAAGGTTGGGCACAAAGTACCAGATTGGTTCGTTCAGAAAGGGTTCTATGGCACTTGCGTCATCAAGATCGACACGCAAGACAACGAGCAGGACACGTTGACTTGGAGAGACATCGTCGTTAGCGCAAGCAATCTGAGAGACCTGTGTGTTGCAGCGCCGCCACATCTGGGTGGGGAGGGGAAGGCAGGTCCTAAGCAGCTGCTGGGTGTAATGATCTACGGTCTCAGCAAGGATGTCGACTTGGCTTTACCAATGGGCTCGAGCGGGCTAGTTCAGGGTCGGATGTTTGATGCGTGAGGCATCGTTTGGACCTCTTCAAATGTCAGACTAGAAAATGACCATTTTTTTACTGTGGAAATGGCTGCTGTATGAACGCTGAGGGGATCGGAGAAGGCCGTGATGAGACTGCGGATTTCTGTACCTAGAAACCACTTGACCGTGTGACAGTGGTATCATCTAACGAAATTCTTCTCAGTATATTTGGCAGTAGTACGAGTGCCGCGACATTGCAAATCGTTACTTGGCAGAATCTTCAGTCCACCCAGTTTCATAGCCAGTGCTTCGGTAGCAATGCTATCCCTCAAAGGACAGTATGCTATGGAACGCTGGTGTTGATTCACTCAACTCGGCGTCTAATTCCTACTGACGGAATTCAGGCGGTATGTTTGGTTGAGATGGCCAGTAGCATTCGTAGAGATCTCGCTCAACTCTCTTCGCAGTTGACCTGCATTTGTGGGAGAGTGATCCATATCAGTAAGATAGGCTGGGTCCATCGGACCTTCTCTTGCTACAATTATCTCTCCTGCGGCTTGATCTCCCTTGATTTGTTTATCGTAGGCGGATTCAGGCTGAAATAAGATCATTACCAGGTGATCGTTGTCACCTAATGTCGGACAACTAGAATTTCAGAATCTATCATGACAGCTTTATTCGGTACCACTTGCCTGTCAGTGTCGAGCCTCCTTGCGAAAAACTAGGGACGCCACTATGGCTAGCATCTGGAGGAAATACGAATTCAAGTATGATATGTGTACCACTGCCCGCCATGTCGCTGTAGAATACCGTATCGTAAGATATACTTCCATTGAAGTACCGGATCGACAACAAAAGCCATCTTGCAAGCGGCTGCAGGTTGGAATTCAGCCACTAAATTGGGACATGATGATGCCAACTAGTCGCTTACCGTTTGCACGCGATATAGGAAGGGTGTGCCTCGATGTCCATTGGTAGGGTCGAAGTCCTGGTGGACTTTGTAGGTGAGTAAGAGGCAGCGAGGAAAGGTGGCTCCGTCAATCGATGAGGGCAAATCCCCCAGGGTAACCGGGTGAGGGTCGATCCGTTAAGAGGTGCTGGCAGGCTCGCGCTTGTGGTTGGCCGTAGAAAAGGGTACACTCAGGCCTGGTCGAAGCTCGAGACAAGAGAAATAAGGATGGAGAAGATGTAGACCAGAATCTACGTTCTACTCAGCCATCCCATTTCTTGAGTCCCAATCATGGCATCTACGACCTCCAAATGAATATACTGACCTGCGCGCGTAGCTTGCTTTTGCCGATATTTGTACTCTGTAGCGATACGCGATTGCAGCTATTCCTCTCTGCAGGTTTTCAACGCCTGCCATTTTTCCTACAATATCGTTGACCACTGCTTAACATTCCAGAATCCTGCTAAGTCTGAGACCTCTCATCAGCATCTCCCTCTAACCCTCCTTGAAGTCGCGAAAGGCAGTGAGCAGAAAGAGATGAGTGGGATAGGGTTTGAAATTTGTCAGCAACATACTTGCCTTCTAGAGCTGGTGGAGGTTCTTGCCTCAGTCCTCAGACGTGCTAAGCCCGCTAAGCCCCTTCGGGTTAACCTCTTCTGCTTACTACGGAACCTCCAGCCCGAAGGCTGCGAGGTCAGTAAGTTAACCAAAAGGGGCTTAGCTGAATACCACTAACCTGAAATGGCTTAGCGATCTTGGCACGTTTGAGGGGAGTGAGGCAGTAGGGGTTCGCGAGGTTCCATCGATTTACAATGTGAGTCTAACCAGCTAAAGAATTGTGGAAAAAGGCGCTCAGAATGGCACAATGAGAAACACAGTGCCAGTATGGTGAAAGAGGAGTAACGTCGCGAACACTCATCCAAGTCATACCAGCCAACAAGCCTTTTCAAACTGTAACGCGTTTTCCGAATAACACGCCAACTCTATTGGACTTAGTGCCTATCTGCCTTGCAGTGCGGGGTCCCCAGCTTTTCCCACTCTAAGGTAGTTGACTATCCACAATACTACCTTCACGAGACCATCAAAGCTATCAAGCATCACATTCAAAATCCACATACATAAATTTAACAAGATGAGTGCAATCGCAGAGAGCTCGGACGGTCCTATTGAGGTGATCCAAGTTCTCATTGTCTTGCATCCTTCCTTTGGAGCTCAAGAGCTCTGCGGTCCTCTTGAGGTTCTTAGCAATGCCTACCACAAGCTCAACGACCCTGGTAAGTCGTCATGCGTATTTCTAGTGTCGCTCCAGCGTCTGAGTTGACTTTCGATCCTCGAGCTGAAGTCAACACTCTCTCATTGATACACCATACGCTTAGGATCCAAGGCTTTCGAATGCACCATTGCAGCCGCCTCTCCGGGGGTTACATCATCTTCAGGTCTTACCGTCAAAGCCGATATTAACTTCGAAGACGCTCACGAGGATCTGAAAGAATACGACGTCCTGATCGTTCCAGGCGGTGTAGGCGTAGATGACGTGCTCAAGAAAGAGGCTGAGCCGATCAAGCTCATCCAGGATTTCGCCAAGCTCCAACAGACCGACCCTAGCAAGGAGCGTACCCTTATGTCCATCGGTACTGGCTCTCTCATCCTCGCCCACGCAGGCCTCCTGCAAGGCCTCGCTGCCACCACTCACCCAGACTACTACACCAAGATGGAGATCATCTGCAAAGAAGCTGCCAGACGTGGAGATCTTGAGCAAACGGACGTCATGGAAGAGAACTACGTCGTTAATAATGCACGGTTTGATCTTGGCGAGAAGCTCGAGGAGAACCCGTTTGTGCTTAACAAGAGGCCTGACGGTAGGAGGAAATCAATTGCGCGCAAGGGTAGCAATGCTTGGAAGGAATCAGTCAAGCGTCGGGAATCCAATGCACGGAGGGCGTCGCTAAGGCTAGGGGGCCTGCGAGTTATCACGAGTGGGGGAGTAAGTGCACTTGTCCTGGCAATTCCTCCGTAATCGAACGCTTGGTCTTGATTCGCAAGATCTGTCTGGCGAGCAGGTGGCTTGCTTCAATCCTCGGGCGTGCTTTAAAAGTCAAATCCTTGCTTGTCTCAAGGGATCAATGCTGACTTGGAAATGTGCAGGTGACCAGTGGCTTGGATGCGAGCTTGTATCTTGTGGCGGCTATGGTTTCACACGAGTCGGCTCAAGAGGTGGCAAGGGTGTTACAGTATAGCTGGAACAAGGGTATCACCGTCGACGGTATCGACGTTTAGAGCCCCGTAGACGGGTTCTCGGGGATTGTCTTCTTCGAGGTGGAGAAAGCCCCTCTATCCTGGCTGAAGTTAGGCTGCTAGCGTGCACGTCAAAGTATTAGCGCCAAGGTTCACATATGTCAGAATCTGCTCACACCTTTTTAATTTGCTCGCCATCTTGCGCCTTCGCTAACCACAGAAGCCAAAGCTTCCGACGCACATAATTATCCATTGGCCCCCGTGCCAAAATTATCTTCAAGCCTTACCGCGCAGTTCCGAGCGCCTGCACCAGAATCCGTTCCGACTACTTAGACCTTTAATATTAACAATGTTGCCGAGGTATGTATGTGCTTCTAGTTGCTCTCCAGTACCTTTGACTTGGTCGCTGCTAGCTCTCAATTTTACCAAATGTTTAGGAGATTTCATAGTTTCCTCAGCTACTCACCATGGCTCATCGAAGCTACTGGTGTCCTCGGTCCAATGGTCATCTTCTTACTCGAAGCTCCTGTCTCACCGGCAGATGACCAGGTAACTCGATATTTTCACCAAGTAAATTCGAAGCATTGTCCATTCCTTAGACACTCTGTCTCACAAAGCCTTTGCAATTGGGAATCGTGTTACTGCAACTCGTTCTTTTTTTTCCGCCATTCGTACAAGCAAACTCGAGTAGAAACCTTGACAACCGTCAGCAAAAGTAAGCTTTCGTCACGAAAGCCATCAGAGAGACAAGCTTCCACGAGATCCTAAAGACGACAGCCGCACCGATGTTGCTCTTTATCATGAACTCTATGCGCAACTCGCCGTCTTGCATGTTAGTCACGTACGAGGCCTTATTTCTCATCTAGCGAGGTCTGATTCTAGAACTTACCAACCTGGGCTTCGCCTCCAAATAAGGAATCTCGCACCTCTGTACGACTGCCGAAAATCGGAATACGGCTATGCACTGGGCTTGATGGCTCTTTCCCATTCGCACTTATCTTTCGCTATGGCGTCCGGCACTCCCTGTCTTCTAGTGGAACGGCCGATTTCCATCTGGACTCTCCGGCTTCGATGGACCATGTCATAGGGTCGGACTCATAGTGGAAGGCTATATAGCTCTTCAACCCTTAACTTTTAGTCCTGTTTGATGGTGTCTCCGAATTCTCAAATTCGCTATACAGTCTCAGCATCTGAGCCTGCGCTGTCTTAGATCGCTCGTTACAAGATGAAGACTGCCTCCATCCTGCTTGCCTTGGCTGCCACTCTCGCTTCGGCACTCGCTCAATCCACAGGCTCATCTTCAACTAGCATTTCATCGACATCGACCAAAGCTAGCACTTCTGCTACGTCGGCTGCACCAATCACAGTGCAAACGGCCGGGTTGTTCACCTACATTGGTTGTTACAGCGACAGTACCAGTTCGAGGGGATTGTCCGGTCTCTATTACCCAGTCGGCGCAACTCAAACCGACGTGGAAACCTGTGCATCGGCCTGTTCCGCCTATGCATATTTCGGAGTCGAATATGCTTCGGTAGGTCCATTCACAGTCTATGCTTCCTCTTCCTGCCTCAACTTGAAGCCTTGAGACGCGACTCGGGATCTTTGCTCTAAAGACGCGCTAACCACGAAACATCAATAGGAATGTTACTGCGGGAATACCATCAATCCACCATCGGCACTCGTCGCTGGAAGTACTCCAGCCACCACGGGCTGCAACTACGTCTGTGAGGCGAATTCATCCGAGTACTGTGGTGGATCCAACCGACTTAACATGTATAACAACACAAACTTCGTATCCTCGAGCTCCAGCTCTAGTTCTTCGACGGCTTCAAGCAGCCGCTCAAGTTCTGCCGCATCGATCTCCGGCACAGCGCTCATAACTTCCTCATCGCCGTCTTCCAGCAGCACCCCGGGATCTTTCTCAAGCTCATTATCTTCTTCAAGCAGCAGTTCAACTTCCTCATCGCCGTCTTCCAGCAGCACCCCGGGATCTTTCTCAAGCTCATTGTCTTCTCCAAGCAGCAGCTCAACTTCCTCATCGCCGTCTTCCAGCAGCACCCCGGGATCTTTCTCAAGCTCATTGTCTTCTCCAAGCAGCAGCTCAACTTCCTCATCGCCGTCTTCCAGCAGCACCCCGGGATCTTTCTCAAGCTCATTATCTTCTCCAAGCAGCAGCTTAACTTCCTCATCGCCGTCTTCCAGTAGCACCCCGGGATCTTTCTCAAGCTTATTATCTTCTCCAAGTAGCAGCTTAACTTCTACCGCATCGATCTCTAGCACAGCGCTTATAACTTCCTTATCGCCGTCTTCCAGCAACACCCCGGGATCTTTCTCAAGCTCATTATCTTCTCCAAGCAGCAGCTCAAGTTCTACCGCGTCGATCTCCGGTACAGCGCTTATAACTTCCTCATCGCCGTCTTCCAGCAGTACCCCGGGATCTTTCTCAAGCTCATTATCTTCTCCAAGCAGTAGCTCGAGTCTTACCGCATCGATCTCTGGCACAGCGCTCATAACTTCCTCATCATCGCCGTCTTCCAGCAGCACCCCGGGATCTTTCTCAAGCTCATTATCTTCTCCAAGCAGTAGCTATAGTTCTGTCACATCAGTTCCTAGCACAGGGCTCACGAGTGCCTCGTCAGCGTCTTCTAGTAGCAACCCAGGATCTTCCTTAAGCTTATTATCTTCTCCAAGCAGTAGCTATAGTTCTACTACATCAATTTCTAGCACGGGGCTTACGACTTCCTTATCATCATTTTCCAGCAGCGTCCCAGGATCTTCCTCAAGCAGTAGCCTTTCTTCATCAATTTCGAGCACGGGGCTTACGACTTCCTTATCATCATTTTCCAGCAGCGTCCCAGGATCTTCCTCAAGCAGTAGCCTTTCTTCATCAATTTCTAGCACGGGGCTTACGACTTCCTTATCATCATTTTCCAGCAGCGTCCCAGGATCTTCCTCAAGCAGTAGCCTTTCTTCATCAATTTCGAGCACGGGGCTTACGACTTCCTTATCATCATTTTCCAGCAGCGTCCCAGGATCTTCCTCAAGCAGTAGCCTTTCTTCATCAATAACGTCTAGCACCTCGCCAAACACAATTTACTCATCCTCCTCTACATCTCAGGGTAGCGTTTCCGGCTCCTCGTCACCGAGTTCCAGCAGTGTCCCAGGATCTTCCTCAAGTAGCAGCCTTTCTTCATCAACAACGTCTAGCACCTCGCCAAACACAATTTACTTATCCTCCTCTACATCTCAGGGTAGCGTTTCCGGCTCCTCGCCACCGAGTTCCAGTGTGCTAGAAACTAGTTCGTCGTCCACTTCATCTAGCGGCGGCCTTACTTCTTCCCTACCAAGCTCCAGCGCGCCAGCAATCAGCTCCTCGTCTACTTCTAGCAGCGCGAGCGTTAATCCCCTACCAAGTTCCAGCGAGCCAGCAATCAGCTCCTCATCTACTTCTAACAGCATAAGCGTTAATTCCCTACCAAGTTCCAGCCCGTCAGCAATCAGCTCTTTGTCTACTTTCAGCAGCGCCAGCGTTAGTTCCTTATCACTAAGTTCCAGCGCGTCAACAATCAGCTCCTCGTCTACTTTCAGCAGCGCCAGCGTTAGTTCCTTATCACTAAGTTCCAGCGCGTCAACAATCAGCTCCTCTTCGTCTACTTCCAACAGCGCCAGCGATAATTCCTTATCACTAAGTTCCAGCGCGTCAGCAATTAGCTCCTCTTCGTCTACTTCCAGCAGCGCCCGCGTTAGTTCCTTACCACCAAGTTCCAGCAGTAGTGGATCGGCAACGTCCCCGTCAAGTTCTAGCACGTTTAAATCTTTCTCCTCCTCCTCCAGCTTTGCAGGAAATTCGAGTAACCCATCCTCTTCAATAACATCAGCTTCTAGTTCCAGCTCTGGCTCCGCTAAGCCGTCAAGTTCTATCTCCAGCTCCGGCTCCACCTCGAGTATACCTACCAGTTTTGCCGTCTCCTCGTCAAGTTCCAGTTCTACGGGGGTCCCTAGCTCCAGTACTACTGCGTCAAGTTCCAGCTCCAGCTCTAGTTCTTCAGCTCTTTCAGTCCAAGTGGACCAGAATTTCGTCACTCAATCCACCGCTCCATCATCAATCACTACCTCAAGAACGTTCGCCATAGAAGAATCAACGATCGAGTCGAGTACGACCGTGGCGCCCAAGCCGGTCGAAGTCAAAGTTCCCTCCAAAAACCCAATCACCACAACGACCACTCCCTCCTCAACAAAGGCCACTACCACAAGCACCAAGCCCAAAACAACATCGAAGCCCACCACCACGAGTGCCAAACCCACCACCACAAGCACCAAGCCCAAAACAACATCGAAGCCCACCACCACGAGTGCCAAACCCACCACCACAAGCACCAAGCCCAAAACAACATCGAAGCCCACCACCACGAGTGCTAAACCCACCACCACAAGCACCAAGCCCAAAACAACATCAAAGCCCACCACCACGAGTGCTAAACCCACCACCACAAGCACCAAACCAAAAACAACACCGAAGCCTACCACCGCGAGTGCCAAACCCAGCACCAAAACTAGCACATCCAAAACGGCCACGAGCTCCATAAGCGATGCCTGCGCTAAGCTCGCAGCCCAACGCGCATACTACACCGCCAAGATCGCACAGCTGACAGCGCAAAAGATCGAAATCCCGCCCTACCTAGCCGGATACGCTGCGGCGGCCTATGACGCCGAAGTAGCGATGGGATGCCTTGTTGCCGCCACGACGACAGCTACGACGAGCAAGAAAGCCACAACAAGCAAGAAAGCCACGACCACGTCCACAACGAGCAAGAATACCAATGCCAACGTCAAAGTCGCCTCCAAGAGGCCCAGCACAACCACCACCGCGCACACATCGACCAAGAAAACTTCTTCCACGACCAAAGCAAAGACTACAAGTACCAAGAAGACATCGACCACGCACACCACTACGGAGGAAGTATATGCAAACTTCAATCCAGGCTACGCGGAGATCACTGGGTAGATGATTAGTCTGGACGGCGAGAGTAGTGTTCTTTATTCCTTGCAGCTTGGAATCATGTGTAATGGCAACAAGGGGTTACTATAGCCATCCATAATCTCTAATACAAGTTATCAAATTACCTCCACCATGCTACATAAACCCTAGACTTCGAATACCCCAAGCGTGGGAATGGTAACAGTGCCGGTACATGCTTCCTATCAAGCCTTGAACCCGCGCGCCACTCTTCATATCTCACAGGGCGTTGAGCTTTCGGTAGACTTACGCAAAAGCACGATTGTTTGCAAAAGACCACCCCTAGGTGTGGCTCCGAAAAGCATGCAGGAACGAAGACCTAACTCTAAAATGATACAAGTCAGTCCCGACCAATCAGTACCACCATCGAGTTTATTCCGCCAACGGGTGATCAACTGACTTGCATCGTCTACGACACGGGCAAGTCGGATCTTCGGTCGTCAGAGCCGGCATCGTACAGACCTTGTCATCAGGTCCGGAGAGCGGACTACGGCCCTTCTGTCCAAGGAGCTTTGGGACAGAAAAGGTTCCCAATGCGAGGGACGCGTCTGGTCTTTGCTCTTGAAGCCTTCGGGGAGGGAGACGTCGGCGCAGCCGTGCCGTTATAGCGTCGATGCGGGCGATGAGGACGGTGTCGGAGTGGGCTGCGTCTTTTGGCGGGCGCGGGCGCGGACGCGGGAGAGGGAGCCGTCTTGCGAGACGACTTCCTTGCCTGAAGGGTGGGCGCGGCGTTTGTTAGGACAGTCTGAGGAGGGAAACATTCAGCGTTGATGTGAGGGTGGGGGGGGGAGAAGTGGCATGGTTTCGTGCTTGGTCTTGTTTTTGGAAGCCTGCGAGGTGGGCGAATGCATTGGTCGACGGCTGAAGCGATGGCGACAAGCTCTATGATTGCCAGAATATGTCAATACTGGAGTACGGGTGCGTGAGGTATTCGGTGGCGCAAGCGAAGTTGGGGTTTCAGTGAGCATGGTGCACGGAGGAACGCTACACGGTTCAAGGTTTCTTTCTGATTTTCTGTATGTACATGTGTCTCCGAATTGGACCTCCCAACGGCGCCTTGCAAAACGGCAACAACGCCTCTGGTAAACACTACCAACCATCTTCCTTTCAAAGACTACTGCCCTCCAAATCCTCTTTCCCCAAATTAGCGTCCGTCGTCCGCCCGCCCAACCGCTCCTTCTCCAGCGTAACCGAAGTATGCTTTGTGAAGTATGGCGAGGGGTCTCGCACGAAGATAGCTAGTATGCAAGCAATGACACCGAACGGTATGGAAACAAGCCATGTGATTCTGAAAGCGTCGCTGTAACCCCATTGGATGGCACGCGAAGCTGCCGCGATGACATTTACGGGCGTATTGGTTAGGGTATCTGTGGTACCGGCTCCGATTGCGGTAACGAGAGCCTCGTATTTAGAAGCCGGGTAGTTGAGGGGTGCCAGCGCTGCGCCGACGCGTTGTGGGATGGAGACGGCGGACTTATTGTTCAGGATCGTAGTGAAGATAGTCGTTCCAATAGCTCCACCCAGAAATCGAAATGTCCCAATGAGACCGAGAGCAAGTCCGAGGTCTCTTTGTGGTACGTGCAGACTCGCAGTCACGTAGCAAGCGAGGGTGATCCATGCGAAAGGTAGATTGGCCAAGCATTGGAATACGAGAGCCATAGGAACCGTATCCGGCGTAATGAGAGCGAAGAGGGCTGTAAAAAGCGTCTGGCACGCAATTCCAATGAAGAGTTGCCATTGCACATGTTTTAGCCGAGCGATCAAGGCACCAAGGATCACACCACCCCCAGCGCCACCAAAGCCTCCGGGGATGTTGTAGAGTCCTGCAGTCAAGGACTTGCTGGTAAACATATAGCCGATCTGCTCAGGGATCAAGTCTGTCAAGGAGAAATAGACGAAGCCAGTCACAAAGATTAGGACTAGCAGAATAGTGTATTCGCGTACATTTCCGAGAAGCCGCTTAGGGAACAGGGGCCGTTTTGCGTGACCGCTGAAGTCGTATACGAAGGCGGAAATGAATAACAAGGCACCGAGGACCAAAGGTACTAAGACTGCAGCGGATCTCCAGGGATAGCTGACTCCACCCCAACCAAGGCCGAGCAGAAACAGCGTCAGGCCTGCGGTATATAGAAATATGCCGATGTAATCAAGTTCTCTCAAGACCTCCATTCTCGTTCTGTCTGCAAGTGGCTTTGCTGGCGGGTTATAGAACACTGCTGTTCCAACGAAGGAGATGACTCCCGAGATGATTCCTAAGTAGAAGACCCATCGCCAGGTGACATTAGTCAAGAGCAACCTGGCGAAAAGCGGACCAAAAGTGCTGAATGGTAGGAGGTTAAGCTCAGTCCATGCAAGACCAATTGATCGATACTTGTTAGGCAGTAGCTCGGAGATGCCGGGGTACCTGTGGAGTTTGACGAGTCAGCACTTCTTTCATTCATGAGCAGCCCACCACCAGCGCAAAATCAATGGGAGCTCCTTTTCCCAAGTTTATTTTGCAGCTTCGTGTGCAGTAGCCGTATGCAGTTGTCAAGAGGATAAGACCGTGCTTACATCACGAAAGTGGTTCCAGTCCCGAATCCTAGGATTACCATTGCCGCGATACCCTGGTTGACGCTGTTCGCTGTGCATCCAATGATGTGACCCAGGACTAGAAGTGCTTGGCCAAACAACAAAATGTATCGGCGTCCGAAATAATCACTTGTTTGTCCCGCTATGGCAAAAGCGATACTTCCTGCGAGAGACCATCCCGAAGCCATCCAATTGACATTGTGGGTATTCCCCTGGAGTTCGATGGCAATAGGTACCAGGATCGGAAACACCATCAAAATCGTAAAAGAAAGTGATGGTTGAAAGGTGAATCCTAAAAAGAAGACGGCCGCCCACGTGGACTTGGTCACTTTTTGATCTGGGTCAATGTCCTCCAAAGCTGCTCGATGTGGGTCATTGTGGTCATCACGGATATGTGAGTCGAGTCTCTCTTCGCCAATATTGCCAGATTGTGAGAAGGCGATCTCATCATGCGTAACCTGCTCTGATTTCTCGCCAGCCATGGTTGGGCTGTTTGAAAAAGATTGAGAGTAAAGAGAAGGGTTTGATACAGTTTCTCGGAGGATAGATGGGGAAAGGGACAAATCAGCCACCAGGGATACAAGCGAAGGATGTCATGCAGCAGATTCTTGGCTTGATATAAACCCATCCTCGTCGCGCAGGAAAAGTAAAAGGCTAGACAAGCGTCTAAACTTTCTAAGACGAATTTTCCGGCAAACCATGTCCCAGCTCTCTGAGGTCTGGGAACGGGGCTTCGCCGCATAACGACCATACCATTCCTTGCACCAATACTGGCTGGTTTGATGGTGGAAGCTAGACGATCAGGACGCGTGATACTCCAGGCCTAGGACCTAACCTGAAAGTATGTGGTTCGCAAGAGAGACGAAAGACGTTCCGAGTGAAAGTAGAGCTTTGCGGCTTCGATAGTCTCCAGCTTACTCGTAGAAGCCATTGGTAGATTTGCGGGGTAGAAACATGGATGGAGCAAATTGAGCGGCATCTCGCCGATTGAGTGAGAGGCTCTACCCAGGTATCGAGCTATCTACTTTGGGAATAGCGCCGAACTTCCCCGCAATCGTAAATCGTCTGAACGCCAAATTGACCGACAACAACAACACTACTCTCAAACACGCTATCGGTATCAAGGAATGCCGCCCATTATTAACAAACGAGCCTGCAACCTAGTGCTGAGCCATTGCTAGTTTACGCTGGTCTGTTACGGTGTCCAGAATGCCGCCTCAAGATCAGGGGACTTATTCGATAACCGCCTAGACCGAGGTAATAAATTAGCGTGATTTTTCTCCGCGTTTTAACCACGCGACTTTTTTTATTCTTTATAATAACTCTATTATATTAAGTCTAATATAACTAAAATTATTATTTTATTTATTTTTAATAAAAAAAATTAGATTAAATTATAAAATATTAGAAAAAAAGATATTTAAATTAATGTAAGAAAGGAGAAATTTAAATAGTATAATATTCTTCTTTAGAGTATATCTCTATTATTAGAGTATTAATTAATAAAAATTAAGTATTATATAATTATTAGTTACCTTTTAAGCGATATAGAAATTACTTTATATATAATATTTAGTCTTATATAAATTATTACTATTTAAAATATACTTTATAAAAATATTAATTTATATATCTTTTTTATAGAGTACTTTTAGATTCTATTTAAAAAGTTTATTAATATTTTAAAATTAAAAATCTTTATCGCTATTATAATCTATATAAAAATCTTTTATTTTTTTATTATTTATAATTATTAAAGAACTAATAAAATTATTTTAATAGCTTTATTAATTATTAGAAATATAACTTAAAATTATTATATTCTTTTTTAGAAATTTATTTATTATTTAAATCTTATTAAAAAAAATTTAGAATTATTAGAATAGATAAATATAAGTAATCTATATAATATAAAAAGCTTTAATTATTTATAAATAAGATATAAAATAATTAAAAGAAGCTTTATATTTTAAGTTTTTATATTATAATTAATAAATATATAATTAAGAAGATAAAATATATTTATTATTTTATAATAGCTTTAGATAAATTAATTAAGAAAAAATATAAACTATTTATAATTAGCGATAAAGACTATCTTTATAATTATATTTAATATTTTTCTATATAAAATCTTAAGAATAAATTAAAAATTAAAGATTTTAGAGATATATTAATTATAATATTTAAATTAACTATTAATATATTATCTTATAACTCTATTCTCTTTATAAATAATTATTTTATTAAATTTAAATTAATTATAATTTTAAAAGATAGAGAAATTATAATATATAAAATTATAAAATTAAATTAAATAAATTTTTTAAAATTACTTATAAAGATAAAAAAAGTTTTTATAAAGGATATTTTTATATAAAGTTCTCGCTATAATAATTTAGAATAATATATTAATAATAGTTTAATAAGATAATAATCTTATTTTAGTTTTAATTATTATATATAATATAAAAAAGATTAATAACTCTATTTTTAAAAAGAGAAAATATTTTAATAAGATTAATATAAATAATTATATAGTTCTATTTACTTTTAAAGAGAATAATTAGAATATAAAAAAAAAGAAGTTTTAAGTTTTTAAGCTTTTCTATTACTATAATAAATATATAAAATTAATTAATTAATTTAATATTTTAATAATTATATATTCTTTTTAGCGAGCTTATAATTAAAATTAAATATCTCTACTTTATTAATATTTAAATAAAAATCTTTTAAATATCTTTAAACTTTATAAATTAATAAAAATATTTTATTAAACGTATTAAAAATATTTTAAACTAATAATAATAGAATTAATTAAAAAAAATAGAGAAAATATTTGATTTTAATTACCTCTTACTTCGATTATTATTCTATTAAAATTATTATAAAATAATTATAATTAATAAGATTTAAATACTATTTAATAATATTTTATATATTATTTTAATATTTAGAAGAAATATTTTAATAGAGAAATTAGTAATAATAATAAGAGATTATTAAAGATTAAAGAAAAATACGCTATATATAAAGTCTCTTTATATTATAAAGAAAATTATATAAAATAATTTTATAATAAAAAGAATTAAATAGAGTCTATAGAATAGATCTAAATTATTGAGTATAGATTATATAGTAATTAAAAAGATAATAGTGGTAGAAATCGCATTTGTTGCCTCCGGGCGGTTATCGGATAGTAGCGGGCGATGGGACAAGTTGCGAACCTGAAGATCCAAAGGGCAAAAGGGCAAAAGGGCAAAAGGATGTTGTCTCCGTAAGGCCATGGCATGTCACCGTTCCAGGCGTGAGATCAACATGTCCCAATTGGAGTATTGAGAGACGCTTTGACCCGCATTTTTTTGGGATCACGGTCGAAGGACTCTAGACTGCCCTTCGAGTTTGGGTGTCTCAATGCTGAACCTTCAGCAGCGAGCAACCCTCTTCACCCTGAATTCCTGAACTGTCCCAGCATGGCTTTGCTTGACGACGTAGGATCAATGCATTTCTTTGCTATTGGACTGCTACTTTACACCATCTACTGGGCATTGCACCCGCGCTTTCTGTCCCCACTGAAAGAAATTCCAGGCCCATGGTATGCCGTCTACACAAAATGGTGGCTCGTTTGGAAGACCGTAAAAGGTGTTCGCGCCAAAACGATTCATGAGCTGCACCTCAAATACGGTCCCTGGGTCCGAATCGCGCCGAACGAAGTCTCAACCTGCGATCCACAGGCAATCGTCCCCATTTATGGCGTCAATTCAGCCTACATCAAGACCGAATTCTACACCTATCAACTACGCGGAGTTCCAGAGCTCTTCACCATGTCCGATCGGAAGCAGCATGCAAGAAGACGACGCGAGCTTTCGCATCTATTCTCCATGTCAACCATCACCGAGTACGAGCCAGTAATTGCGAAGCAAGTCAAAAATTGCATGGACTTCGTAGCCGACGAAGGTAAAACGGGGAGAGTCAGCAATTTGTATGATTGGTGGCATTATCTATCCATGGACATCATATGCGACCTCTCGTTTGGTTCGACATTCAACATGCTTCAAGATGGCGCCAGCAACGCATACATCAAGGATCTCTATGGGTCATTGCAGATTGAGCCCGTTCGGTGGCATTTCGGTTGGCTGAACAAGTACGCTGCTTGGGCCCCATTGAAATTTGTTCGGGACGCAGAGGCTTGCAGTGTGCGTGCAATGGACCGAGGCGCGAAGTTGGTCCGAGACTATGTGGAGAACCCGGAGAAGAAGCGCCGCAAAGATCTGCTGCAGAAGATGCTAGATGCACGCGATGAAGAGGGAAGGCCTCTATCGGTCGATGCCTTGAACACCGAAGCTGCGGGCTTCATCCTCGCTGGCTCTCACACTACCTCTTCATCATTGACCTGGATCGTTTGGCGTATCATGAAGAGCCCAGCAATCCTGGCCCGGCTCCGCAAAGAGTTGGACGAGGTATTGACTGGCCTACCGCGTGATGAGGTTCCTATGCACTCGAAACTGGAAGGCCTAACCTACTTCAACTGCGTCATCAAGGAAGGCCTACGCATCGACACAGCAGTACCGGGCTCGACACCCAGATATGTTCCACCCGAAGGCACCAACATCAACGGCCACAAGCTCTCAGGAGGTTCCATTGTCTCCGCCCAAGCCTACAGCTGCCATCGTGACCCAGCCGTTTTCCCGAACCCTGATGAATTCCTTCCCGAACGATGGCAGGATGAAACGCCCGAGATGCGTAAGCTCTACATCCCCTTTGGAGCAGATGGACCTCGGAAGTGCATTGGCATATGGCTTGCTTACATGGAATTGAGAGTGATACTTGCGGCGCTCTTCCACCGCTTTGACCTGGAGTTTGCGCATGAGGTTGATGATGCGAGCATGGAGTTGGACGAGTTTTGGCTTGCTAATCCTATTGGTCAACATTTGGATGTCGTTGCTACGGAGAGGAGCTGATCGGTCGAGCAGGGCGTTCTATTGATGCTTGTGATTTTCTCGAATCCCGTATCGAATCATATCATATGTCGGAAAATCCGTCCTGTCTATTCTCTCAATGCCACATTTGGTACTCTTTCTTGTGGGGAACAAGTGACAGCTCTCCAACAATGAATTGTGTAGATAAATACTCCTAGCCGAGTTCGATATAACATCAAACCAACCAAGCTTGCAGAAGATTCCATTGCAAAAATCATGCACCTCTAATATAGTATATCGATGCTCGTCGCGCAGAAAAAGATCAATGAGCTCAAACATCTCAAACATACCTTTGCGCCGCACACCTGGCCAGTTGCCCTGACCCTTCGGTATTTGCGTGCTGTTGCCAACGTGTCAACTGCGCAAACAGCAGATCGAGGAACGCAAATTGAAAATCTGCCTGAGCAGTAGTCAATTCCCCAAAAGAGAAAAAGAAAAAGAGAAAAAGGTGCCAGACCCCCAGAAAATGCACGAAAAAAAGTAAGAAGCTAGTGATCTCTCACATCTGAATCCCGTTGTGTTGATTGATTTTGGTTCCACTGATGATACACTCGAACAAATGCTCCCTCCAACTTACTCCACCCACACCCCCTTTTCAACCCCTCAAGACACGCGATCCAAGCCACGAACAGCAGAACCAGCCCACTATACGCGACTCACATGCCCTTGACAACCTCAGCGCTGACCCCACTCCTCTCCCCATTCTGCCCCTGCCGCGGGCCCCCATCGTCGGCCGCTCCATCCTTGAAGAAACCCACACTGTCATTCCCCTCCACCGACCCATTCGTCCCATGCGCCCCCTCACCGTTCGTCGTCGCGGCCGGGCTCTCCGCCCTCTTCGGCTTTCCCTTCGACCGGACCGGAATGACCGACTCACCCTCCGGGACGACCCTCATGGGCAGATGATCCGACCCTCTGGGAATGAAGGCGCCTTTGGTGCTATCCTTGTGCAAGTGGCCATTGATGACGATGGCGTGGATGTTCTTCGTGTCCTGGAAGAGGGAAATGTCCTGCAACGGGTTGCCGTCGACGAGGATGACGTCGGCGTAGTAGCCCGGGAGGACCTTGCCCAGGACGTCCGGGTGGCCCATGATCTCGCCGCCGAGGGCGGTGGCGGCGAGGATGCTCTCCATGGGCGTGTGGCCGAACATGTTGACGAAATGGGCCAGGTCGCGCGCGTAGGTGCCGTGCGGGGCCCAGGCGAAGCCGTAGTCGCCGCCGGGCAGGACGCGGATGCCGCGCCGGTGCATCTCCCGCATGGCCTTGGCCGCCGTCTCGACCTCGCGCTTCAGGCCCTTCTTGACGGCCATGTCGGGCGTCAGGCCGTACGGGATGGCTTCGCCCGTGCAGCTGGTGTAGGGGAAGTTGATCGCGGGGGAGATGTAGACCCTGTCCTTGATGGCCTCGAGCATGTCTATGGCTTCCGCGTCGGCGAAACTGGCATGGTAGATGACGTCCACGCCCGCCCTGGCGCACAGCTTGACGGAATCGTTACTCCTCGCGTGGGCGCAAACGCGTTTCCCGCGCATGTGAGCTTCGTCGACTGCCGCTTTGGTCTCTTCCAGCGTGAAGTAGGTCTCTTCGCTTCGCATCGTCTCGTGGATCTCATCGCCCGTCATGCTGAGTTTGATGTTATCGACGCCCAAAGAGCAGAAATAGCGCACAGCCTTGCGCATTTCGTCCACGCCGTCTGCATAGCGTGTTACGGATGGGACAATGGCACCGCCGGTCGTTGAGATCTCTTGGCCGTTTGCCAGCATGCGGGGGCCGGGGATCATGCCGGATTTGATGGCGGCTTTGGTGACGACGTCGAGACGAGGCTGTGCGGCTGCTGCGCCGAAACACATGGTGTAGCCACAGTCGAGGTACATCTTTGCGGAGTTGGCGGTGTGGAGGACATGTTCTTCGATCGGGAGGTTGGTCAGGCCGTCGAGTGTCGGCGAATTGTTCCATGATAAGTGGGTGTGTGAGTCGCAAAGGCCAGACATTAAGGTTTTCCGGCCTTGGCCATCGATGACTGTGGTCTCCACATCTAGGTCGGCGGTGACTTTGCCGACTTCTTTGATGGATGTGCCTTCGATCAGGACATCACCGAGGTAGGGTTTTCGGCCTGTTGAATCTAGGATTTGCACATTTTTGAAAAGAATCTTGTCGGGGTCGTTTGGGTGGTGGTTGTTTATCGAGACATCGGCAGGTAATGGCTTCCCAAGTGGATCGCCTGGAGTTGGTAAACCGTTGGGGATAGGCATCTTGGACAGAAGGCAGTGAGCGGTTGGCGAAGGTGAAGTCGGAGTCGACGGTAAGCAGTAGGTGCAGTAGGTGCCTCGTCAGGTCAGGGTCGCTAAGGCAATGCCTGTTGGTTGCATTATATTCTTCAATATCGCCACTCACATTGGGAAGAGTCTTCCGAAATCAACGCGGTAAGACTCCGACTCTGCATGTATCTTTTCTCTTTTGCGGGGTGGAGACGATCCAAGCTGCGGGGCTCCAGAATTTGGTTGAAAACCCTAGACATCACACGTGACCAAGTGTTAACATTTGGCGGAGAGATGCCGTTACAAACGGGCCGTACCGATGGCTTGCGAGGTCCAGATCCGCGAATGTATCTTTTCGGTTTCTTTTTCTCGCTATCTTACAAGTCGCTCTCGTTTGTTGGTTTTTCAACAGCGTTGCTGTAGAAATAATTTATAAGAAAGCAACCTCATCAAAACCCAGAGCCTTGACAAGCCGAATTCGCTTCACAGACCTTTCACTCCTTGCTGTAGCCAACCCTCGAACCATGGCGCCAGATTCAAGATCAAAAACCTTCGGTTTTGTGGGCCTCGGAAACATGGGATCTCAGATGGCATTCAACCTCGCAACATACGCACAACAAAACGCCCTCCCGCGGGTTAGGATTTGGAATCGAACGAGAAGCAAGATCGAGTACCTGGCCCAAGAAGCACATTGCGAGATCGTTTCCTCATTGGAAGAAGTCGCCGATCAATGCGATATCGTACATACCTGCCTCGCCAATGACGAAGTCGCCTTTTCAGTCTACCGGCAATTCTTCCAAGCAGCGAACGTGAGAGGGACTATCTTTGTCGATCATTCGACCCTTTTCCCTACGGCCTCGACAGCGTTGCAATCGGAAGCTTCGAGCAAAGGGGCGCATTTCCTCTCGTGTCCTGTCTTCGGCCCGCCCGCGGCTGCAAAGTCGGCTGGACTGCTCGTGGTTGTGTCCGGAGATTCTTCGGCGAGAGAGACAGTGAAGCCGTACCTGGTCCCAACGATAGGGAAAGCCGTCCTAGACTGTGGAGATGACTCATCGAAAGGAGCGCTGATGAAGATCCTGGGGAACAATTGTATCCTTGGGACCATAGAGCTGCTCAGTGAAAGCTTTACCTTGGCTGAGAAGACGGGCTTTGACGCTGGCATTTTCTATGACTTCATCCGTACGTTTTCCTTCATCAGTTGCATTTCCTCCTGCTGACAGAGAACAGAGCAATGGTTTCCCGCAGCCGCATGGGTCAATTATGGCAAGAAGATCCGCGACGGTACCTTCTCCGGCAAGACCGGCTTCAAACTCGACGGCGGAATGAAAGACGCAGCATTTATCCGACGGCTCGGAGCCGAGACTTCCACGCCCACGCCCATCATTGATCAAGCGTGGAATCATCTGACCACTGCAAAAGCCATTGGAGGCGACGGTCTGGATTGGAGTGCTTGTTCAGCTGGTATGCGAGTGACGGCCGGACTTCCTCCTTTCAAGGGCGAAGACTTCTCCATCTCGCAGCCGGCTCAGACGAATGGTCATGCTGACGGAGAGGTACCACATCCTGGCGCTGGTGTGAGGGTTGCTGGGAAGAAAGAGGTTGCACATCAAGCTAACGGCATAGCATCGGAGGAACTTGTCAATGGAGACAGACCTACGGATGCAGTGCCTTAAAAGGGACAACTGGGACGCATGGAGTTGAGGCGCAAATTTGGCTACTGAGATAGAATTAGCAATATCAATACCTTACTCGTCTGGATCATTTCCGTCCTTACCGTCCCAAGCGCTTAATCATATGTTCCATACGTCAGCCTACCGCTATCAGGAGGAAACCCTTTGAGATCTTAATACTCTTAGATGCTAAAGACAACATCTTGAGGAAATCTCAACAGCCACAACAGGCGAGGACGAAAGTGACTGGCACACAAGGCTTAAGACGAGATTCTTTGGTCTCGTAAGACAATAGTAGAATAGAAGACGGAAGTGTTGTCATTTCTCTATGCCAAAGCCGTCACTCTATGACGAGACAGCTTTTCTCAATACCTCCGCGCTCTCCTTGGCATTCTCCAGCGTATGCCAATGCGCGACCCCCTCAAACGTAACCAAATTCACCTTTGTGTGCCCCAACTCTTCCGCGATAGCTTTGCACAGTGCAGGAGTAGAGACCTTGTCCTCACTCCCACTCACAATCGTCGTCTTCGCCTTAATCGCACCCCACTCGGGATCTCGACTCTCGGCCAAGCTCAGACACGCCAGTGCATACCCCTCCGCATTCTGCCTGCTCAGCAACTCCCTCCCAAACGACACAATCTCCGGGCGCTCTTTCAATGTTTGTGCAGCGAAAGCGTTCCCAACGACTGTATCCGCAACGGCTGCCATGCCGCCTTTGCGGACGCTCTCCGCACGGCCTTTTGCTCCATCTCTTCCCGGCTGCGGGGGGGCTTTTATGGGGCCATAGAGGACGAGTTTGGACACGAGAGAGGGCTGTTTGGCGGCTAAAGTGAGGGCGACGAGGCAACCGAGGGAGTGCCCGACCACGGTGATGTCTTTGAGCGAAAAGTGGTTGATTATGGCTGTTGTTCGTCAGCGTTACACATGCCAGGTCGGGTTCCCGGTTGGTATACCTTCGGCATCCTCAATGTAAGAGTCAATGCTGGTCTTCTGCGGTAGCGTACTCCTGCCATGACCAGCCCAGTCGAAGCGGACAAGATTGAAGTCTTGCAGAGAT